TTATTTTTGATATACTTAGGTATGGGCATGGGAGAGACTGAAGATGGTTCATCCAGACAGACGACAGGCAAGAGAGGGTGCTATTACATTCTCGAATGATCTCCCTGGTCCACCACACGCTTGTAAATGGAACGTTCAGCTTAGTTGGACACATACGACGCAATACGTGTTGCCATTATTTCGGGACCAGCTAGATAACCTCGTTGATGAACATGTATAACTTATCAGCTCTATATATGTTTTGTAGCAAGTGTTATATTCTTTTTATGGCTAATAGTTTGTTATTTTCCGAACAGTTTGTTTGGGAGCCGTATACTCCAGATGTGATGGAGAATCTTCCCGAGTATTGCCGATCAGGAGAGTACTTTTGGCGTGCTGTGGTGCCGCTCCTATGTTGGGACGTGTTGGAGATGCATCAGCCCAACAGGGTCCTCAGACAATTCGGAATGCGTCAATTCATACCTGTTTCCTGCAATTTTGCAGACAATCACGACATGCATGATCGTCGTGGCCGACAAAACACAGATTGGGCTAGAGAACATGCGAGGCTCATACTTGTCTGGAATGATCGTGCTAACCAAGTTTGTGAAGCCCGGCTAGCAGATGGACCCATTGCGTATGATGATGATTACCTTGTCTGGTATCGTCGGATTACTCGACAGATTATCGGAAATCCCAGTTTCCAATTTCCAAAAGGGTATGCATCCCTTGCACCAGTGGCCGAGGTTATGGTATGTACTTGCATTAAGATAAGTTAATCGCATTTTTTATATAATGTATCATTTTCTGTGGAATTCATTCTTATGTCAGAAAAACCAGCTAATTAGTTCATTTGATATATTGTATAGTGTGCACCAGTGATATATTATAATTTTTGAACCTATTCTCTAGGTGTATATTTTGGTAGATATCTGAAATTGTTCAAAAGTTGGTTTTCATTGTATCCTGGAATACATCTCTACCTTTTTCAGCCTTATGCCCAGCAAACTTTTGCTTTTTGATTGCTTTTTTCCATTTCATAATAATTTCTGGCATGTGTAACTTTTGGATAGCTGCTGATAGCATGTCTCTTGGAAGACACTTCGGTTGAATTATTACTGCTCTTTTTATTTTCACATCATTTATACCTTAACTTTTTCGGTGTATTTGTGGGCCTTATTTTCTGTCAAAAATACAGGAGGAAAAGGTTGATGAGCTAGTTAACTATCATGTCAGCTGTGGTTTTATTAGTTTGTATTAGAAAAATAATGATCCTCGATTTTGTAATTCCAGGCGCGTCAGTTGCATATGATATATCAATATGGGATTGAATTGCGACAACAACCATCAATGGAGGTTGCTGGAAGGAAAGTCATGGAGATGTGCAGTGATGGTTTGTCAGCAGCGATCGAGGCTCAGAGGCTTCGTGTTCAGCCAATGTATGTTCCAGTTGAGCAGCCTTTAGTTGATCATGCTGTTAATCCACATAAACGTGGAAGGGCAGGGAGACGCAAAAAGAGACGTGCGATAGCAGCAACTAATGTTGAAGAAAGGTCTGAAATGTCTAATACAAATTCGGATTTGGAGCGCGATAGTGGTGCAGGTGGTTCTGTTAAGGGTGATGGAAATTTAAATGTTGAAGCTGAGCTTGGTATGGATTCATCACAGTTTGCAGAGCCCCGTTTTGATATGGCATGTAGTTCAACACAATTTAGAGATGGGAATGGGGATGGTTCTGAATTGCATAATGTTGACATTCAACTTGTACTTTATCAGACCCCACCCTCTCAGCAGTTTGATATGAATAATTTCGGAGACGGGTTTGATGATGACGACGTACACCACTCCCCTGCCCGTCCTGATCGACAGGTTAACTATGATAATACCCCTAGCCAGATGACTTTAGAGGCCTCTTATGTTACAACTATTGGTTCTGTGGATGATAAGCCTATGGAGCAAGCAATTCCAAGCCGAGGAAGAGGGCGAGCGAGATTTTACAAACGTCGTGTTAATAACAATGTAGATGCACCGCGGCGACAAAATCCTGCACACCCTATAGCGCCACTACGTTGCTATAAACCCTAAAGAACCCTAGCAACTAGGTGCTCCTAATTTCTCATGAATTTGTATACTAACGCTGCTAGATAGAGTGGTTATTGGGGTTCTAAAAATCTAACTTAAGTTTTGCTTTTTGCAGTATACACAAAGTCAAACTTCGGGATGAAGTTATGTGCATGAAAGGAAGTGACTTCCTAGAGGGGATATCTACTACCTGTACCCTTCGTTTATAAGGAAGACTTGCACATTTATTCTACCCATGGATTTCCCAAGTTAGCATGAATAAAGCTTGCACGTTTGTTTTATTTCATGTTGTGTTGAGTGGCTTTAAAGTTAATAGGCGATACCACTTTATGGCTTAAATAGTGAAACAGATTGCTTTACATGGCCCTCTAAAAGAAGTTTTCTCAGATCTATTCAGTTTGTGCAGGATACCAGATGCTTTTATTGAAGATTGGAGCTTACAAGGCTGGAATATACCTTTTAGGCGACTGGCGAGTGCTGAATGATCGGGAGGTGGATAGAATTACTGAGTTCTTCAAGATGCTGGACATGTTCAAAGGCACAACTGACACTGGAGATTCCATGGGGAAGGTAATGGCAGAAAATGTTTAACAGTTAAATCAACATATAATGCATTAACTGCTACTGGATAACAAGACACAAGATGGCCTTGGAAGAATAGTTGGAGAGCCAGGACTGCTGTTAAAGTGAGATGTTTCTCTTGGTTGGCAGTAAGGAGAGCATGTCTTACTCATGAAAACCTGCAAAGAAGGGGAATACTGTTAAGTTCAAGATGCTTTTTATGTTAGGAGTGTGCTGAAAATGAGAGTCATTTGTCTTACGTTGCAAAGTGACTGGTCATGCCAGAGTCCGCTATTTATATGCTGAAGTGCTGGAACAAAGTGGGAGGCAGTGTAAGGAGTAAGAGGTGGTGGAAATCTATCCTAGTTTGTATATGGTGGACTGTATGGAGTGAGAAATACAAGATGCTTTGAAGATAGTAGTAGCTCTACACAGAGACTTGAGATGAACTGTGTAATAGCCTTATATTTCTGGTGTAAAGAAAACTTTGTAGAAGATGCTGAATCTTTACTAGACTTTTTGGAATCTCTGTACTTAGTCCTAGTAAGTAGTCCTTGTAAGATGAACAAGCTTTTGTTTAGAGATTTTGTAAATATGGTTGCTGATGAATATACTGTTACCTATTTAAACAAATAGTGAAACAGACTGACTTCAAGTTTAGTTCCACTTCTGAAATTCTATATTGACAATGATGTCAAGGGATGATGCTATTGATGGTAAAAAATATCATGATTTCATATGATGTTCTTTGTTTTTCACTTCTCCAATTCCTTATCCCATGTTATAATTTGTGAGCTAATTAATGTCAATCCTGCTGTGTTGTGTTAAACTGGCGGTAGAGAAAGGGACTGCTCAAGGTGGAAACAAGTCATGCTTCAAGCAGTTGTCTGGCTGCATATTCTTGGGCTTGTGGGACACTTTATATTCGGTTGCCTTTAATTTAGTTATTTTTTTTTGGCGGGGAAAAATATTGTGCGATACATTGATTGCTATCTCATGCAGGAGCCTGAGACAAAAATGTGCGAGAATATTGTGTGGATTGAATAACTGTCTAGGCAGTGCAATCTTGAGTGAGGTCTTCTAAATGTTCCTTGTATTGCATGAGTTTATGTTATCATGGTAAATTTCACAAAGCTTCTCAATTGGCAGCCAGATGACCTGTTAAAGCATTCTACAAGGTGTTTCTTTGTTGGATACATTAATTGGTTTTGCAATCAACATATCCAACACTAACTCAAAACCTGCAATCTACTTTATTGGCTAACATGTAATCTCATGGATTTATATCTTAACTTTCTAAACTTGGATGTTTATTATTTTTCTCAGCTTGGTGGGCAGACACAATTTTCTAGTCTCAACTAAGAGTACCTTCCAAGAATTGTTCCATGTTTTGCAGACGTACTTTGAAACCAGAACCAGCAGGTGCTCACCAGACCTCACACAACATCTTCAATGCCCCATTTTCCTTGTGGTTGTATTTTGCCATTATTTGAGCTAGCTATTACTAACCTATGATGCCATGACTTTTTTTATCATTTACATAATCATTCACAACTTTTTTTGATATCCATTTCCCACATAAAACATCTAGTGCCCTGAAGTTATCTCATATTTCCTGTGACAGAGGTAACTTCTTCACAAACTATCAATGTGCAAGCATATAAAATACCATATAAAGAAATAATGTTCACATGTCAATGCAATGGATCCTTCCAAAGAAATAATTTTTCAAGTACAAACACAAATTGGAAAAGAAAATGTTATCAATTTTCCCAGCTTCCATCTAGCTGGATATGTTATTGTGCATAAAAAAAACAAAGGAAAAAAGAGAATCACTGGTTCCTTAAAATCATCCATGACTATGCTGAAGATCTATATCTCCTCTATCATTCAATCACAACCTTTCTCCTCTGCAAAGCAAAGAAACACTTCTCAGGTTTGTTTTAATAAGATTTAAGAGGTTAAATGTACAAGCTAAGAAGATGGTGCAAATAAGCTTGAGTCACTTACCTGTTAAACCAGGGTTGCATCTTTTTATTTGCTTGTCAGGCTGAGGAATCTAAGTGATAAATAATGACCTTGATCTCCTTGTCATATTCTTCCTTTTGCTCTTCCTGAATTTGCCTGACTGATTTTTCAAGAGACTCACCACACCGTTTCACTTCAATCATCTTTATACTTGATATTTCTCCAATAGCAGAAGGGATTTCTTGAAGATGGAAGCAACTTTCTACCAGAAGCCGTTCGAGGTTTTGCAAGGACTCATCTGAGGCATTCCATTCTGTAATTTTGAGGGACCTCAATTTAAGAACCTTAAGGCTCGGAAACTCTTCATCTTCAACGTCCCATTTTCCTTCCTGAAATGCTCTATGCTCCAACTTGAGAACCACTAAATTTGGTAATCTCCCGATATTAGACATTTCAGTTTGTGGCAACGAAACATCAGATAAAGTTAGCTTTGTCAGCGTCTCGGGCATGCTGAATTTCAAGATCTTACCATTCACACTAAGTGTTTCAAGTGGAAGAGCATCTAATTTGAGTTTCAAAGGCTCTTTACAGTGGCACTTGAGCTTTCGCAGTCTGGTCGCCTTCTTGATCATGTAGTCTGCTAGCTTATTAGTGAGAGACACAGTGGCCAGGGTCTCTAAGCAACATAAGTTTGTCGATTTGCGAGGAATGCGTCCATCAAAAGATGCAACAGGTTGTACATGCACATGCTTTAACCTTGGCATATTCCAGATGGCCATCGGCAATATTGTACCGCTGCCCACTGTTATTACAAGCAAAACTTCAAGGTTTGAAAGGTTTGCTATCCATAATGGCATAGATTCTATATAGCCTTTGATTCCTAAGTACTTCAAAAGAATAAGCTCTTTTGATCTCTGGAATGAACTGTCTGACACAGGACATTCCATTTGCAGAACTTTTAGAAGTTTGAAGTTTTCGAGATCAAAAAATTCTTGGCAGCCAGATTTCGGGGGTTTGAAGAATACAGAACGAACTTGCAGGTTTCCGATCCTCCCTGCCCAATAAAGGCTATGATGAATGCACAGCCTCCGGTGCTCATAAAAGGAACTAGTCAAATCTTTGTTCTCAGTACTTGTTATCTGCATAAACTTCTCTTCCTTAGCTTTTGTTGCACAAAAATCGTGTAGCATATCATGAATGTGACATGATCTGACTCCTCCGGTAGACCTTTTCTTGTTAACCATTACCAAGCTTCTACCGATGAGATCATTCAGTAAACTTTCTGCAACGAGCTCTACACTCTTTTTCTCTCTATTTGGAATAAATCCCTCAATAGTCCACAACCACGCCAAGTTTGAGATTGGAATTTCTTCATCCTCACGAAATGATGCAAAATAGAGAAGGCAGGGCTTGAGGTGATCTGGCAAGTGCCTGTAGCTCAATTCTATTATATCAAGGCACTTTTCACTAATATCAGTATCTGAATTTATACTTTCTGCAATTTTTCTCCAATTTTCCTTGTTTTTCTCTTTCTTTGTCAAAACACCAGCTACCAAAATCACCAGGAGAGGTAGTCCTTGACACTCTCTTGCAATTTCTTCTCCTACTTCACATAGTTCTGATGGGCAAGTTGGTTTGTTGAATAACTTAATTTGCAAGAGTTCCCAACTTTCTTCTGTAGAAAGAAAACGAAGTTGAAGAGGTGGTCTAGCAGGGTTAATATCTGAAGCCACATCACTGAGTCGGCTGGTTAATAAAATCCTGCTTCCATTTTCATTAACTGGAAAACATCCCTGGAACTCTTCCCATGCGTTAATACTCCATACGTCATCAATGTAGAGAAGGTACCTCTTTCCCATTAAAAATCTTCGCAGAGCAACTACTGGATCTTTCTCGTTCTGTTGACTGGGACCTCGGACTTGATTCAAAATTTCCAACAACAACTTTCTCCTGTCATATGTTTGGGAAAGACAACACATAGCATGGACATCGAAATGATGCCTTATGGTTTCATCATGATAAACTTTCTTTGCTAGTGTAGTCTTTCCAAGACCAGGCATCCCTACAATAGACACAATATCTAATTCCTTTGCTCCTCCAACAAGCTGCTTTATAAGTGACTTTGCCTCTTCATCAAAACCTACCACTACCTCATCATATCCTGGAGTTATCTCAACTTCTTGTGGGACAAGATCTGGTGCTTCTTCTCCGATAAGGACTTCAACTTCTTGCACATGGAACTCTGCTAATTGATCATTGACAAGCTTAATTTCTATTGTGGTCTTACATAACAAATGCTGATACCAAACAGGATAATCTCCCATAACCAGGCAATCAATTATGCGTTCTGCCTGGTATGCTAGAGATATCACTTTTGTCCAAAGATCACGTTTCTTCACCTCCTCAAAGGCATGCTGTTGCTTCACAAATTTCTCCAACAAGGATCTTAAGATAGATAACTCCTCCTGAGCTTCTGCAATAAGATCCTTGACAGCAGAATCACACTTTCCATTTTGCAGCAGCTCTTTCAGATAGCGTAAGAGGGAGTCAATAAAGCCTAGTCCATCTGTCTTGGGGAAATTATATTTTGATGACAGTGGAGATTTCAGAATCCTGTCATTTAGGTCTTTCATGACAACTTCAATCTTTTTCAATAAGTCAGAGAATACCAAGTTAACTTCTGCTGCTTTGTCAACAGAGAAAGAGTAAGCAACAGAAGCTACCTCAGCAATAAGACCTTCAACGTGAGTGAGTATATCACTCAATTTTCCCTGGTCAACATATGGATCTTCAGGTGGATAAATAAGCAATGTTAGCAATTGCTTTGATGCCTGGCAAATGCTTTCGGCTTGATCCTTCATAGGAGGAAGCATCAAAGAACATGCTTCACTATTTAATAACTTTGAATGGTCCTTCAAGAGAAAATGAACGGAATCTTCAACAAGTTTTATCACATCCTGGTTGTACTGATTTTGTGACTTAACCAAACATCTTAGAGCCCCTGTATATATTTTCGCGACTTGGGGCTCAATGGGCTTGATCTCTTGCAAAACGTTTGAGATCTTAAGAATCAAGCAAGATGCCAGGTCTTCATCCATTTCTTCCACAAAACATAGGTAACAGATGTAAGCAGCATTCCGAGTGACAACCTCCATATGATTAAAGAGAATTCTGGATTTCTCTAGTTCCACACTTGCATCTTTTATGAATCTGAGGAAGGTTTTCAGATACTTTAGACTTTCTTCAAGGACTTGAAACTCTTTCTTTAGAAGATCAAACTTGTTCAACTCTTTCTTTTTTTTGAAAAGATCCTTCACATTCTGAAGGATGTAGTCAATGAACTTCTGAAACAATGGACTGCATAAATTTGGTAAAGGCCACCTTCCTGGATCCAGTGAAAGGAGAAACTCATAACCTTCTTTGACTTCAGCAGAAGATAAGTCTGCCCTTGGACCTGAAACAGTATCTCCAACTTGCATTCCATGTCCTCTCAACCTCCCATCCTTAATCCTCCCTTTTTGAGTTGCCCAATACAAAAATGTATCAAGAAATCTCCTCTCTATTTCAGACATTTGTTCTCTCGCGGAGTAGTCCTCAGAATGGCATAGACAGGTCTGCAAGTAAGAAATTAAAAAGAAATCACATTCCAAGACCAAACATGAGCTTATAACATTTTTTCCTACTGTATAAAC